GGTTCCGCTGGGAGGCAGGAACAGGCCATCGATGTAGCGACCTCTGTCGTGGTGGAAAGCACAGTTGAGCTTTTGGCATCCCAGCGGCCGGTTCTCCCAGTAGCACGGAATCTCACTGCGCTTCTTATCCACGGCCGTGTGCCGGTACGGGCACCGCTGCCGGGAGCAGCGCCCTGCTCGCCACTGCGTGCAAACCGTCTCGGTGCCCAGCGCGGCCTCGCAGTGCCGGAACGGGCACGCGTCCCCCTTGGCGCACGTGGAGTAGAAAAAGAAATAGCAGTCGTCGCCTCGATCAGACATGCTGAAGGGTTCTCAGGTCACAGGGGCTTCCTGAAATAAGCCGCTGCTTCCTGAGGCAGGAGCAGCCCGGGTCCTCCTGAGGAGGCTCGCCCTTCAGATCTCCAAAGACAAGCGCAGCACTCGTCCTTAAAACCAAGCAAGAGCTGCTTGCGCTCAACGGGAACTTCAGGTCTTCACTGAGTTCCAGTCTGTTTCGCTCTTAGTACTAGTTAGTCCGTTTTCCAGGAATTATTTGGGCAGGGAATCTCTCCCAACCTGTTTCTCCACAGTCGAAGAACAGTTGGTTTCCAGGGACGCTGAGGCTCCAGGTTTCCCAAGTAACAGAAGTGGGGGAGGGGAACAGCACGTTCTGGAAGGTGCTGAGGCCTGGAGGATGGGGCCCAGCTGGTGGGACTGGGGGTGAGAAAAGAGGGGAGCATGGTCCCAGCCCACCCTTGCGAGGCTGGAGACAACAGTACAATTTCTGAAACCACAACCATAACCACTACAACCTCACTTAAGCTGAAATAACTACCATAATAGAAAAAACAAAAACACCAGCCTTTCAAGTGAACCTTCTAGTACCATGTATAGTACCAGGAATCCAACCAAACCTACACTTTGATAGACCATAGTACCGCCACAGCATTTAAAACTATGACATAGTTCCACCTGGTATTACTACAGGCCTTGAGCAATAGCTACCTCAGTGGAACACACAACTCCTCAGCCACATTATAACTGTTTCTAAATCTACCATATTAGGTTGGTTTTGGAATCCACTTAGCTACAGCTACTGAACTTATGACCACAACAGAAGCAGTGACTTCCACTGAGTCTGAAAACACTCTCTGCCGAACTACTGTAGCTTTACCAACCTCATTCACTTGACATTACAGCAAATGCCATCGTGCCGCCTTGTCCACTAAAACCAAAAGCACTGTAATTTCTACTGAACACATTCCAGTTAGAGAGAGCATAACCACTTCAGGTGAAACTACAGGCAAAACAACTCCAACTCCATCTTCCACTGAGCCCTCCACCACAGCACCAGCTGTCACTGAGCTGACCCTCCACCCCCAATTCCTCTGAGCCTGAAACCAAGGGAGCCGCTCCCCCTCAGACTGTGTACCCCAACACCGCTGTCTGTGAAGGCACAGCAACAGGGACCAAATCTTCAGCTGCGTCTATAATGACTCGTAGTTTGTTCAGAAGCTGCTATCAAAAGAAACAGTGGCATTTGGAACTGGTAGAATAAATAAATCTACAAATGCCCGTGATTCTGTCCCTTTCAAGTGGAGGCCCCTCTGTACTGGGGACCGGCACTTCAGCTGACCTCTCCTGCTGCTGTCACAGTCACAACCCTTTCACTGTTTCAGCCTACTCTGGTCAGCGCTTGTAGCAAAAGAACCATTTTCACAACTTTGAGTTTACAATCCTGCCTCTTATTCAGCTAAACTTTCTCACAGCACAGCCCTCTCAACATCAGGTATGCACTGCCGCTTACTTGCCACCAGCCCTGGTTCCTGAAATGACAGCTACTATCCGGGTAACAGAGCCAACAATCAAAATTTTAATCTCGAGAACTTTTCAGGTTTTCTGAAGTTTCAGATGATTTAATTTTCATAAGAGGCAAATCTAGTTTGCGATCCAAAAAGACTTATGTAAGAAAGGTGTGACAAAATCTCATAGTAAAATCACTGTCATCAGTTGGTAATATCAGTGTATTAGAGACTAAGCTAAACAAGCTTATAAACAACAATTAAGTATAATGGCTTGTCTTTTATTTATGCAGTATAAAAATGAGGTGATGTTATCATCCGATTGTTTTGTCTTTTAGCATATTTATTGCTACTAACATTACTGCAAAGGTGCTTTTGATATTTCAAATGGAAATGTTAATAAATACTGAAGAAAAGATAAAGGAGTAAAGTGTTCAGGAAAAGTAATAAAATTATGAATTTGGAAACTTATTATTTAAAATTCCTGTTAATTGATGAAATACAAATTGGTACAATGACAAGGATTGTCTGGAAACCTACTGAAGCAGAGTTAGTGGAGTGGGCCAGGAATATATTTCACAAATCAATATGCATTAAAGAACTGTTAAAAAGAAAAATTATTTAAACATACTATAAAAAGTAACCTTTTTCAGATTTACAGAGAATAAATTTCCATTACATGTATACCAGAATCCCATGACAAATGTAAGTACCATGAACTGCAAACATGCACCAATAAAATACTATGATTGCATTCTAACAGAGTTTGAAGAAAATATTTTTATTAATAGATAATAAAAGGGTCATACATTCAAGAAAAAATTTTTAATAAATATTTCAGTATCAACTATGGCAATTACAAATAACTTAAAACTTCTTTCAGTCACCATACAATATTATTTTTAGTATTTTAGCCCAGTTGCTGCACTTATATATGCTTTAAGGTGATATAATCTTATTAGGATACTTTTAGATTGCACTTAAATTCCCTTCTCTTTAAAAGTCCTTTCATTTAGTCATACACACATACACACAGGCACACACAGACAAGTGCACACAAGCTTACTTTCAAAATATTAATAAGGGGGCTGGGGATTTAGCTCAGTGGCACAGCACCTGCCTGGCAAGTGTGAGGTTGTGAGTTTGATTCCCGGTACTGGAAAAAAAACCAAAAGAAAAAAATAGTAATAAGATTTTCTCAATGTGAAATAATAAGCCAACCACTCTCAGGAGGCTGCGGCAGGAGGATCCTTGCCAGTTCGAGGCCAGCCTGGGCTACAAAGTGAGTTTAAGACCAGCCTGAACTGCATAGTGAGACCCTGTCTCAGAAAAACAAAAAAAAAGGAAATATAGTAGATGCTTACTAAAAATCTGTTTTATAAACACCTAACTACTTACTTGTATATATGTATAAATAGATAAACATTAATCTGCATAAATCTTAGACCTGCATATTAGTTTACAATTGCCACTGAGTTATGGTTGATACATTGTGTCAACTTGAGGGGTCAATAGGCTTGGCTATGTTACTCAGCAGTTCTTTATCCTGGGGTGAAAAGGACATGCCCTTCCTGCTCTAGGATGTGTTTTGGTATTCATCCTGACCCTGCACAAGAAGAGGGCTCTGAGACAGTGTGGGCATGGGTGGATAGCCAGCATGCAATGTAAGGAAGGAAAAGAGAGTTGCTCCTCACCACTTTTTGCCCTTACTACTTTTGCTGTCATGTGCCGCCTTGACGTGTTGCCCCAGTGCCACGCCACTCTGCCCTCGAGCCAGCTGATTATGGACTGAAACCTCCACAAACTGTGAGATAAATAAACCTTTCCTTCCTTCATTTTGGCCACTGGATATTTTGTCTCAGCAACCAGAGAAAAGTAACCAAGACATGCTGAAACCAATTATTCAAAATTTAAGGACTTAAAATAACACAAACTCATTATCTTTAAAATAAAATAGAGGCAACAAATAAGATTACTTGTAGAAAGAGTACATTTCCTTGCCTGGTTCAGATTCTAAAGGATGTCTGCATTTTGAGGCCCATGAATATTTTATTACTTCAAACTCTGCATTTCTAATCACAGCTCTTTCTCTTATTACGACCTTTCTGCCTGCTTCCTATAATTAATTATTTGTGTGATGACATTTCATCCATTTTTATTATCCAGGAAAATCTTCCCATCTAAAAATCTTTATGCCACATACACAAAGTACCCTTCACTATATAAAGTGACCTAGAAGATTAGAATGTATACACTTTAGGGGGGATTGTTAAAGTCAGTATAGTCCATTAACTGGCCCCTAAAGATTTATGCCCAGTCACACGTAAAGTACATTCCCTGCATCTGAAATTCCCCCTGAAATCTCAATGCATTATTTAAGTCCAAAATAATCGGAGACTCATCAGTTTAAAAGTTTTCAATGTCATCATCTCAATCATCTTAAAAGTAAGTATGGATAAGGCTCTGGACACAACTACTCTTAGGACAAAGCAGCTTTTCATCTGAGAAACTAAAAAAAAGCTGGCTGCATGGAAAAACACATTGCTACATAATTAAAAATTTTACAGACAGTCCATTGAAAGACAGAAAGTGAAAAAGAAAAAAGTAGCTAGCAGTACAAAGGCATTTAGAGATTCATGTAGGAAAATCCATCTGGTTTCCAGGTCCAGGAGTAACTCTCTGGCTGGGACTTCACCTTCTGGGCCTGCAGCCCCACTGCTTCTATGGAAAGGTGGTTGGTCATCCTCCCTTTGTCCTGAAAGTCAGTGCATGATTTCAGCTGAGTTGTGTTACCAGCCTGTTTCCTGCATGGTAAGTTTGAGAGTCTGCAGATTTCTGTTTCATCCTCTCTATTTGTTTCATTTTAAACTGGCCGGGTTTCTCCTGGATAAAATTCCAAAGAATCATGCGGGTCCCCTGTGCTTGTCACTCCATTGGTCAAGAGTCTCCTCCTGAGACTTTTCTAGAAAAATCCCACCTCTGTGCCTAGTTTCTGCTGAGATAGCTGAGGGAGTCCTGGAATCACACAGTCTCTGAAAGAGTATACTGTGGCTTTGTAATTCTTCCAAGGCACGGGGAAAAGATTGCCCAATCAGGCTTTTGAATTCCTCTCTAGACCATGCTTTTATGATAATGAGTCCCCTGCTACTTCATCATCTTCTGCCATCTGGAGAGCTGAGGGCTTCTCAAAGCCTCAAGTCCTGAGCTGGGCATGGTGATGCACACTTGCAATCCCAGCACTCAGGAGACTGAGGCAGGCGGATCGTTGCGAGTTAGAAGCCAGCCTGGGCTATAAAGTGAGCTCAAGGCCAGACTAAACTAAATACCAAGAACCTGTCTCAAAACAAACAAACAAACAAAAAGAACCTCACCTTTGAACGTACTATTCACATCAAAACTTCAAATCCTCATTTTTTTGTGCTTAGCAGTTCTCCCCCAAATTTGTTTCTTTCCTTTGATAGTTTACGTATATTTTTACTTCAAAGATCAAGAACAAACCAATTTCCACCTGCAGCATTT